TGAAAATTGGTACTAAACACCATTTTATAATCTTTTGAAACCTATCTAGGATGTAAAGGCGACGAGGAAGGGAGCTGGGCACATTACCGCATACGCTCTGACCTGGACAATGTGAAGGCCTAACATGACGTACCTTTGTATCTATGGTTCCCGGGATCACATCAGTAAAAGCAAGTAAAGTAAAGGACCCTATTCCACGCATTCAGATGTACTGGGCATATAGGGCTAGATGTGAATTGTATAGACCAATCAGCACTTGGTTGGTGATGCGGTCAACATCACGCCGGCCGCCTTTACTTCCCAGGACTGCACCTGGTAATAACTCAAAGCTGGGTCTGGCTGGGAGCTAAGGTCATTTAAGAAAGCCCAGTTCCGTCAATACCCGAACCCACAACCTTTTGATCCACAGGCGAGCCTCTGGCCGCTACACCACGGCGTCTCTCATCCCATCATATGCTGGGGACGTGGAGGGGAGGGAGATCCTCTACTCCTAGTAGAAGCATTTTGCCAAAGACGACGAATGAAGGGTTTGCTAAAGTCAGATGTGATGAGTTGACAAGTAAACCATAATGTTACCTGCCAACCGCCGTTATAAGGGGGAAAGAAGAAGAGGACGAGAGAGAAGAAGAAGAAGAAGAAGAAGAAGAAGAAGAAGAAGAAGAAGAAGAAGAAGAAGAAGAAGAAGAAGAAGAAGAAGAAGAAGAAGAAGAAGAAGAAGAAGAAGAAGAAGAAGAAGAAGAAGAAAGCGACGAAGAAGAAGAAGAAGAAGAAGAAGAAGAAGACAGTAGACCATGCTATCGGATCCCCTCAGCCGTTTAACTCATCTTCTAAAAATGTATCTGATTGTATCAGTCCCCAACGGTGGATGAAACAGCAGAACTTTGAAGGAATCAGGCGCTACTGGTGGCGTCACTCACCAGGGGGCGCACGGGAAGGCGGCGCCGCCTTGTCCACAACAGCGTGTGACGGCAACGATTAACATTTCCCATGGCACAATCAACAGTACCGCAACCTTCTTCTGTATGTAGACATTGTTCTGTTTGCTGATGGAGCTGGTTTGTTGTCGTCATGGTAATAGTTTTATGGTGCCAGAGTCACATCCAGACATAATTTCTTTGGTGCTGTCTCCGCCATAGGCATGGGCAGCTGGGGCCTCAGGCCCCTTGAGCGCCCCTCCCTTCCCAATACATACACACATCATTTAGAATTATTCAGCCCCCCAATCATTTTGTAACTGGACAGAGAGGCCCTTTTTTGTTTGTATGTGGAAATTCACTTTAAAGTTTTTGTTTAGACTATTTTTATTTTTTCAGATATATTATTATATATATTTGTCTTTCAGCACATTATTATTATTATTATTATTATTATTATTATTATTATTATTATTATTATTATTATTATTATTATTATTATTATTATTATTATTATTATTATTATTATTATTATTATTATTATTATTACTTTTATTATTATTATTACTATTACTACTACTTTTATTATTATTATTATTATTATTATTATTATTAACGAATCCAGCTTTGGGCGAACAACCAGGGTTTTCCGAAAGGATTTAGAGCCTGTAAACGCAAAGATTAATATTATTATTTCTTACTTAGAATTAATACGCATAAGGGACCCCACTCCTATTTTGTTGCGGTGGGGTGGGATGGGGGGGTGGGAAGGTGCTAAGCATTTAAATAACACGGGGCTCACATTCAATTGATCCACTCTGCTCTGTTGCATGCAACCCTCACGATTTCTGACACGGAGTTTAACCCCGCGTTTTTAACTTCTCGAAACAATGTTCATCTCAATGTCTTTGGACTTCCTCTTTGTCCTCAGACCGTGTGCATACCCAGCTGTTTGAAGAACACTGTACACAGCTAGTTTATTACATAATTATATTCTTCCTAATGTCATTGGATGTTTTTTTTCCTTCTCAGACCATGTGCAACTCCTACTGTTTGAAGAACACTGTACACAACCTACTAGTTTTTCACACTTATATTCCTAAATACCCGCCTAGGGATAATTCTTAACCGCAACCAATCAAACAGTTTACAGAAAGCAACAACAACACAGACGAGAAAATTAGGTAACTAAATATACACGGATAAACATCTGCCCTTTCAGAAGAGGTGGGTGATAGTATCTCTGCCCGCTCGCCCCTACTCTCCCCTTTCACTCTCATTCCCCCTGTATGTCTGGTATATAGAGGGCGGCCTCCACCTTCTCCCGTCCCTGGAAGTAAACAGGGCTAAGTTTGCCGAGGGGCGCCCCGATGACATGCTGCGGGAAATGTGGCCTTAGTGGCGTCTCATCCCACTTGACTTGTCTCGCCGTCATTCTTTCGGTTGAAGTGCGATGTCGCTGATACGGGAAAGAGCGAAAAACGGCCGTTTCTAGTGCGACTCGTCAGTATAAACAATAGATAGATAGATAGATAGATAGATAGATAGATAGATAGATAGATAGATAGATAGATAGATAGATAGATAGAT